CCCGGATCCATCCGGGGTTCGACTCTTTGATGTGTGTGAGCAGCCGGACCCAGTATTGGGTACCCTGCTTCCCCTTGAGAGGCTCGAGCTCCTCCTTCATGAACCACTTCGCCGCGGCGAAGATGGTGCTCTCCGTGTCAGACCAGGTGCCACGCTCGACTGGTGCGGCAGCCCGTTTCTTACTCGGCTCGCGGCGTGCTGCAGACTGGGACGCCGCCTTGCCTTTGCCCTTGTCGTGCGCAGCCTTGCGTGCGGTCGGCCGTTTCGGCGGCGGTGCGACTGGATGGGCTTCCTCGGAGGCGTCGTCCTCGGCATCCTCGTCGTCGTCTTCGTCGTCGTCGCTGGGCGACATCCCAAGGTCCTCAGGTGCGTCGTCCTCGTCGTCGGAGGCGACGGCGTCGTCGCCTTCACCGTCCTCATCGTCTGCGCCGTCATCCTCCATGGCAGATCGGTGTGTGGACGCCGTCCTGGGAGGCTGGCGGCGCACACGGGACGGCCCCGCCGTGGGCGACGGTGCAGTAGACCACTGACTGTCACTTACGGGTGGCGCGGACAAGCCCCTGGGGTGACGACCGTTGGCGATTTGCTGGTTCAGCCAGCGGATGTACGGGATTTCGTTTAGGTCTTTGGGGCAGTCGTTCAGAGCCCCCCCCTTACGCTTACGTGCCATGCGGGCCGGTGGGACAGCTTCTAGATCTAGATCTACTGGGAAATGTGGCGGGAGAAGAGTGAAGAGCAATACATCACACACGAGTGAGGCGCACGAGTTGTGTTGGAGGTGCACGAGAACGGGGGGCCCGCGGACTGGCGGGAATGTGCGCGTCCCTGTCAATAATTCTGCATGTTTCGTTTCCTCCAATGAGGACGCATTGTACGCGTTTGGGGGGAAATTGAGTTTCGCAAAATGTGGTCCAGATACATGATGCCTGTGGAAACATTTGGTGCTGCGTGCGAGTCCTTGGGTGTGTTGCAATTAGCGGGCGACTGTTCCGTGAATCACGCCAGCCTATGATAAATACAGTCGGCGACAAAGACGGGCGCCACGGCATTTCGACACCTGGCAGCATATGCTGGCTGTACGCGTCTCAATCGATTGGGACACATCGATTGAGACACAAATCTACAGCGGAATGTACCCTTAGTTACTACCATACGCGTTAAGCGAGTTACCAAACGTGTTAAGCGAGTTACCAAACGCGTTGAGAGAGTTACCAAACGCGTTGAAATCGTTATCGTACACGTTATACTGCCCCAGGTAAGTTACCATTGACATATTTTCCCTTGACTCGATACCCTACTTGCTAGGGTTGTATCCATAACCTCTTTCAATCTACACTACAAACAGACGATGGATAACATCTATAGCATTCCATAACTCAAAAGTGGAGTGTGGATTCGTCATGCCACTGAACTAAGTGCGTCACAAACCACGTGATTCGTCTTTCACAACACCTTGCTTTTGACTAATTTCTCCGTCATTCTGCCCCCCATATTCCCCTTCCTCAACATGTAACTCTATAAGTGCTCTTCTTGCTGTTTCTACTGGGAAAAACGTGGTGGCTATTGCTGCTGTTAGCGGGACTGCTACAAAGAGGGACAGCGCTGTAGACAGTTTGCAGTCCTGAACCAGAGTGACAGCCACGTAAGGACAAACGATGCCACCCAAGCGGGAGAACGAGCTGGCAAAGCCGAGGCCAGAGGATCGGACAGATGTGGCGTAGAGCTGCGAGAGGGGATGGGGGGAGAGGCGAGTGGGTACAGAGGAGTGCGGAGAGGAGAGGGGGGAGGGAAGGGAAAACGAGAGGACGGGTGAAGGGGGGATTACGAAAAGGCTAGCCCGTGCCACTACTGTAGCTTATGCAACTGCTGCAGCGTCTGCTTACAACTACAGCCAGCAAATTAAGGCAGATAACAGCCGTGAGGAAGCCGCATGTGAACGAACAGCACCCAGCACAGACACTCCCCCGCCTCTGGTGTGACAGCATGAACGAACATGAACATATCTCTGAGGCAGATCTCTCATCGTTCAACAAAAGGCGCCACAGAAACTGCTTGAGGCAGCTCACGAGCCGGCAGAGTGGTTCACCTCTGGTGCGAACATGAACAGTGTCTGAAACGACCCCATGATTGCCGCCCTTGCAACAAACAGCACCGCTACAGTGGCAGCCGGCCGGGCGGCAAGCGCGAGAACAGACAAGTCCGGGAGGAGGGAGTGGAGGAGGAGGGGGAGGAGGGCGAGGGCGGCAGCAGCAAGCATGGCAGCGATGGTGGTGCGCCGACCCACACGATCCACTATAAGAGCAGAGAGCAGCAGGCCGGGCAGCTCTGCTGCACTCGTTATAAGCACACCGAAGAAGAAGGGCTGCCCTAGCCGCTCCACTGTGTCCCTTGCTGCTGCCTCTGCTCCAGAAGCAGCAGCAGCGGCAGCAGTCGCAGTAGCAGCAGCACCGACAGCAGTTGCAGCAGTCGCTATGCTATCACCAGCAGCGCCTACAACACCGCTGGCAGCAGCAGCAGAGGCAGCAGCAGCAGCAGCAGCAGCAGCAGCAGGGGGGCAGGCAGGAGTGGCGGCAGTGAGCTGCGTGGTGAGCAGCACGAGGCCATAGTAGGAGAATGCATTGGCGAAGAACACCCCCCACAGGAGCAGCGTGGTCGTGAGAAGAGGCGGAGAGAGCAGCTGGCGCAGGGCTGGTGGAGGGAAGGAGGGGAGGGAGCGGTTCCAGCTGTTCCGCTCACTCGCACTCTGCAGCTGAGGTGCGCCTTCCTCTGACTCTCCCCCTTCTGTTTTTTCCACCTGAGATCCGCCCTGAGACCCGCCGCCCCCTGCAACCAGGCTGACCTGTCCTGCTGGCAGCGGCCTCCTATTGAGCCTTGCCACGTGTTGCAGCACTGCCAGCGCATCCAACGGCCGAGATTTCACCAGAAGGTACCTCGGAGATTCAGGAAGCAGTGGGAAGAGCAGCAGCAGCAGAAGGAGAGGCAGCGAGGAGAGAACGATGAGCCATCTCCATCCCAGCACTGGCAGCACGGCCCATGCTAGAGCAGCTTCGGCGACCGATCCGACGGTCCAGAAGAGAGAGAGGGCGAGCGACCAGAAGCCGCGGGAAGCAGGTGGCGTGAACTCGAGGAAGAGCGAAAAGATGACGGGCGCGCCACCCAGGCCCACCCCGACAAGTGCTCGGGCGGCGAGGAGGAGAGGGAAGGAGGGGGCGAGGGCTGAGAGGAGCGCTGCTAGGAAGGTGAGCAGGGCCGTTGCTGTGAAGGCAAACCTGTGATTATGTGGTTGGGGTGGGTTGGGGGTAAGAGAGGGGAGGAAGAGGCGAGGGAGAGAAAGAGAGGAATGGATGAGGTGTGGGTGGGGCAGGGATAGAGGAGTATTCCCACCAGAATTCCTCAACTCAGCCGTTCACTCATCGCAGCCCCCACGCGAACGCGCCCACCAGCATGCCCGCGAGTGTTGAGAGCAGCCTGACCTGACCAAAGAACATCACCCGTTTCCTGCCTTTCTCCCCTCCCCCACCATCGTCTCACCTGCGCCCGCGGCTGTCCGCCAGCAGCCCCCACGCGAACGCGCCCACCAGCATGCCCGCGAACACTACAGACGACAGCGCCGCCTCACCGTCGCCGCCCACGCCAAAATGGGCGGCAGCGGGGGCGGCAATGAATGAAAGCAGAAGAAGCTCCATGGCCTCTGCCGCCCACGCCAGGCCGGCATACCCCAGCAGCAGCCAATGAAATGCGCCAAATCCAACGGCGGAGAGCGCATCGTCCACCGTGTAGCGGCGGCTCGAATCATCCCCACCGTCCATCGTGTCGACGTCGCCGATTCGCCGGTACGTGGCTCCTTCACCGCTTGCGCGCCGAGTCGTCGCACGGGTCATCATGCTTCCGCCGGCCTGGCTGCTTCGTGTCCCCAATTTAGCATCACTCGCTATAAGAAAGCCTCTTTGCCACCCACATGGAACTGCGCGCGATCCGTTTCCGGAATTTCCGCCTCGCCGGGGATTCGAGGCGGAGTAGCGCGCGCATGCGCGCAGCCGTAGTAAGAGGGATGCGGATGCTCTGAGGTGGGGCGTTTTGCGCCCGCAGCTACGGCGGGAGGGGCAATTTTGCGCAGAGAGAAGGAAGAAGGGGCGGTTGTGCGCGGAAAGGAGGCTGAGGTGCGAACGGAGGAGGTTCGAAGCGCAGGAGCGAGGGTCGGGAATTACCGTAGCTAGTAGCGGAGCCATTAGTAGTGGGGATATTGAATCCAAATGGCGCACATTCGTTGGATTTGTATCTCTCCACTTGTGCTGTACATGCTAGCAGGGGATTTGGTGTTGATTTGCATAAAAGCTCACTCAATACTAGCCGCTGTCGGATTGTCGTGCAACACATTCTTCATTTCATTACGAGAACTTTGAATGACGAAAATGAGGGTTCCTCGCGAGTTTCGCTAACATCAAAGTCGTGGCCGCTCGTTCGCCTAGCCACGCGATGACTCCCAGCACCACGTGGCGTTCTGAGGAGCTTCCCGGCACTCCTGGAAAGCGTCGACTTGCAACTGTGGATTTCCTTTCCCGCCCTGCCAAACCCAAGGTCGGCAGGCTCAGGGAGTGGCCGGAATAACCAGAGCCTCTAGTTTCTCCTCTCCACTCCACTTGAGCACGGATGCACGCAAAGCTTTTGCCTGGAGTGTGAAATATCGTTCTTTGCTCTTAGCTGCTGTTCCCGCTTGACTTGCTCTTCTAGCCGAGATAAGAAGGATTCCACCTTTTCGCTGGATTGTCCTGACATCCAGCGCGTGCCTCAGCTTTCCGTTCCTCGACTTCCGCGTTCCTGCGTTCTTCGTAGTAGCGTCCGTCTTGCACACGGTGCTGTCGCAGGCGTTTCTGTCGCACACGTTACTGTCGCGCGCGCTGCTATCGCACACGCGGCTGTCGCACACGCTGCTGTCGCTCCGTCCCGGCCTACCACAATCCCTCCTTTGTCCGTCGTCAGTTCCCTAAATCTCCTTTGCCATGCTGTGTCATCGCCAGGCGAGCGCACTTTGCGCCGCGGACCCGCAAATCCGCCCCCTTTCCCGCGACTCCGCGCGCAGAGCTCCTCACTGCGTGCGCATCACCGCAACGGCGCAGATTCCCGCGTCGAGGAACGAGCGCGCGCTAAGCAGCACTGCCACTTCCGCCACTCCCTCCCCCGCGCATAGCCCCAGCGGCAGCTCCACGCTTGAAAGCGTTTCCGCTGCTAGTGCTTCCGCCGATTCACCCCCGCCGAATGGCTCCGCGCGTCCCCTTACAAACGTAACAGCGACCAACGGCCGCGCGAAGGGCACGGGTGGGGAAAACGGGGAGGGAGAAGCGGAGAGGGAGCGGGCGGCGATGCGCGCAGTGATGCGGGAGCGGACGAGGGTGGTGCGCGCGAGGTACGCGCGCGTGAAGGACGTGCGGAAGGAGCACATTCCCCCCGACGTGTTCGATTACCTGCGCGCCGTGCAAGAAGTCATTCAGGGGAATCAAGGCGGCGAATCCCGCGCGAGCAGCGCTGCATCTGCTGCGCCTTTCCCTCTGCCCTTTCCCCCGCTCCCGCTGCCCTTCCCCCAGCTCCCCCTGCCCGCCCCCCTGCCGCCGCTCCCCCTGCCCGTCCCCCCGTTCCTGGAGTCGCTATTCCCCGGGTCCGCGGGGGCCGCCGTTGAGAGCAGCGCAGGCGCGGGGAGCGAAGAGCGCGCGGCGGAGAAGGCGGAGAGCGGGCCTCCGCGGTTCCTGTGCCCCGCGGATGCCGTTCCGCCCAGCGACGCGGGGCTGCTTCCGCGGCTCTTCTTTCTGCCAGGTGGGGGAACGCGGAGTGCGAGGGGCGCGGGGAAGAGGGGAGCGCTGAGCGGGATATGCGATGGGCATGGAAGACGGGAGGATTGTGGACGGAACGAGAGGATGAGTGTGATGCGGGGGAGGATGAGGGGGGTTGGACGCTGATGGCTGGAGATTCAAGAGCTGGTGTGAGCTGGTGTGGGCCGTGTAGAGATGTATGTGGTGGTGAGGGTGCTGCGGTCCTGCAGAGGTGTCCCTCTTGGTTCAGAGTTCGTGGTTGGTGAGATGCTCATGCTCATGCTCATGCTCAATCTCATGCTCATGCTCATGCTCATGCTCATGCTCATGCTGATGCTCATGCTCATGCTGATGCTAATACTGATTGTGATGCTGATGCTGATGCTGCTGCTAATGCTGATGCTGATGCTGATGCTGATGCTAATGCTGATGCTGATGCCAATACTGATGCTGATGCTCATGCTGATGCTCATGCTGATGCTGATGCTGATGCTAATGCTAATGCTAATGCTGATTGTTCGCTGTTAATGCTGATGCTCATGCCGATGTTGATACTACTCTTGTGCTGCGTGCAGGCATCGAGGGATCGGGGTTTGGCCTGCAGCTGCACCACAAGACACTCGCCAGGTATGTCCTCGTCTGGACAGCCAAAGGTGATCAACAGCTAGGCAAGGTGCACTCAAGGTGCGTTCAAGGTTCAGCTTGATGCGTACTAATCTAGCCCATAATAACGCACTGTTCTCCACTCAAAGGTCATATCTTGACACCGCCCCACCCCCCTCCACTTCCCTCCCCCACTCACACCCCCCAGGTTGTTCGAGGTGACCTGTCTGTACGTGCCTCTATCTGATCGCACGGACTTCACTCGTCTTGTTGATCTGTTGGAGGAGGAGGTGGTGAGGGAGCACCAGCAGAACCCCTCCCATCAATCAATCTGCCTCTCCCCTCCGCCTGCCATCTCCCATCGGCCATGTGCTTTGCCACTTCTCTCCCCCACCACACCCCCAGGCTGTTCGAGGTGACCTGTCTGCACGTGCCACTCTCTGACCGCACGAGCTTCACTCGCCTCGTCGAACTGGTGGAGGAGGAGGTGGTGAGGGAGCACAAGCTGAACCCCTCCCGCGCACTCTTCATCCTGGGGGAGTCATTTGGCGCCCTGCTCGCCCTCGCTGTGTCTGCCCGGAATACCAAGCTGCCCATCACCCTCGTGCTCGTCAACCCTGGTGTGTGCACATCCTCCTTGATACTGCTACGTGTTCCCCCTCCACCTGCACTTCTCCCCCTGCCTCTCCGCCCTCCCTCGCTTCCCCGCTCATCTTCCTGCTTTTCGTTTTTCACTTTCCGCTTCCCCTTCCTCTTCCTCACCCCCCTCCATGTCGCCCTGCCACTCATCAACCTATTTTCTCATCTTCCATTCCCCCTCCCCTCCCCATTCTCTTCCTTTCCGTCTCCATTTCCCCCTCTCCCCTCGCCTCTCCCCTTCCAGCAACAAGCTTTCCGCGCTCACCACTGCACCCACTGATCCCAGTGCTGCGCTCCATCCCACCGGACGTCTACCGCGTCTTCCCCTACCTTCTCAGCTTCACCATGGGTAAGTCCCCGTGCACTGTGCTGCATGCCACGTGCCCCGTGCACTGTGCTGCATGCCACGTGCCCCGTGCACTGTGCTGCATGCCACGTGCCCCGTGCACTGTGCTGCATGCCATGTGCCCCGTGCACTGTGCTGCATGCCACGTGCCCCGTGCCCCAACCAACCCCGCATGGCTCATGTGCCATGCTCCATGCCACCCCTACCACGTCTTGCCCTACCTCCTCAGCCTCACCATGGGTAAGCGCCATGCTCCATACCTCATGCCCCAATCCCCCATGCCCCACGCACATGGCATCAAGCCATGTGCCTCGCCTCGCTACAATAATCGCTCAAGCTCCCTCCCAACCACCCCCTTCCCTCCCCCCAGGCACCCCCATGCGCATGGCGTCAAGGCGAGTGCCCCTGGACGCCTCGCCTCTCGACTGCCTGCTGCAGCTCAGGCAGAACCTGCTCGACCTGCTGCCCATCCTGCCTGCGAGACATGCAGCCCATTCTTTCTCTCCTCTCCCCCCTTCCCTCCTCCCAGGCAACCCCATACGCATGGCATCGGGGCAAGTGCCCCTAGATGCCTCTCCGCTCGACCGCCTAGTGCAACTCCGGCAGAACCTGCTCGACCTGCTGCCCATCCTGCCCGTGAGATTCTATAATGCTCCATGTGGAACATTCTGCCCGTGAGATCGGATTTTATTTCATGCTGTGCTGACCATGCTGGCCGTTAGACCTGCTGATGGTGACACAGCCTGTGGAATATCTACTCCTTTACTCAATTCACGTTCTGCACCATGCTGCACCGTTCTGCACCTGCAACATGGTGCTCTTCAAACCACTGCCGATGCAGTCTGTGCGAGGTGATGATCTAGCATGCTGTGCAAGCCTCTCCCCCTCCCCATCCCTCGCACTTCCATGCAGCTCGTGGCGGACATTCTCCCCCAGGCCATGCTCCAGTGGAAACTGGACCTGCTGGAGGAGGGGGCGGTGCGTGTCATTATACTCCCTCCCTTGCCTGATTCATGCTACTAGTGGGTATTCCCCCCTTCCCTAATCCCACCGCACACCACCCCCACCCCTCACACAGCTCGTGGCGGACATACTTCCCCAGGAGACGCTGGAGTGGAAGCTGGATCTGCTGGAGGAAGGGAGTGCTGCTGTGGAGCCTGTACTGAAAGACATCAAGCACACCACGCTCATTGTCGCCGGGTGAGTGAATTCATATTGTGGAAACCAGAGCAACCAACGCACACACCTCCTCTCTCCTCCTGTGGAGGAGGGCAGTGCTGCCGTGGAACCAAACCGGTGCTCCTCCTGCCTGCTGTTCCTCAGTGGTCTTTGCTACTGTGGAGCCAGTGCTGAGAGGTATCAAGCTCACCACACTCATCGTTGCGGGGTGAGTTGTGGCTTGATTGTAGAGCTACCAAAGCACACACCTCGTTGCGTTGCATGGCAGCTCCTCTTTTCTGCCATGGGGTCGGTGCTTACGAGGGTGAACCACACCGCTCTCACCGCTGCCGCATGAGTGGATTCAAAACACACCTCCCTCTCCCTGTCCTGCCCTCCTCCTCTCCTTCTCTTTCCCCTCTTTCCCTCTCATTCCCTCTCTTTCCCTCTTTTCCCCTCCGTTTTCTGCTTCTTCTCCCCGATAATGGCACAGGGGTGAGGATCAGATGCTACCGAGTGAGGAAGAGGCAAAGCGGCTGCACAAGGAGATGGCGGCTTACAAAACGGTGGTCAAGCAGTGCCCCAACTCGGGGCACACGCTGCTGCTGGTGAGCGCATGGTTGCTGTGGTATGAAGGCTGGCACCGAGAGGGAGATGGCGTCACTGAGGGATGGGTACATCAGGGCATGATGAAGGGTGCGCTAGGAGATGACAGCTTGCACCACGGTGGTCAAGCAGTGCCCCAACTCGGGGCACACACTGCTGCTGGTGAGCGTCATGGGGTGGTGCTGGTGAGGGTGGTGGGACGTGATGGGTGCACGAGGGGATGGGTAGAGCGGGGCATTGATCTAGCAAGTATCATCAAGGGCATTGATCTAGCAAGTATCATCAAGGGCATGCGCGTGTACAGACGGAGCAGACGTGTGCTACTCTCCTGCCCTATTACTCTCTTCTCAAGTTCCCCAACCTCTCCTCCTCCCTCCCCACCCCCACTCTCCCCTTACAGGAGGCGGACATAGATCTGGCGAGCATCATCAAGGGCGCGGGCGTGTACAGGCGCAGCAGCAGCAAGCGGGAGGACCCGCAAGTGGACGGCTTCGTGCTGCCCACTGTGGAGGAGTTTGCACGCAGCAAGGGCGGCATGGACGGCACGATTCGTCTCATGTGCTCGCCCGTGTTCCTGTCCACAGTGGTGGACGATGCGCGAGACACCACCGACCTCAGCAGGGTCCTCAGGAACTCCTCTTCCCCCTCCCACTCCTCCCATTCCTCCTCCTCTTCGTTGTCCGCACGCATCGTGCTGGGTTTAGAGGGCATACCAACAGACGAGCGCCCGCTGCTCTTCGTGGGAAACCACCAGACGTACGCGCCGGACCTCTCCCCCTTAATCGCAGAGCTGCTCGCACATGGAGTGCCACTAAGAGGACTTGCCCACCCCATCGCTCTCGGCATGGTGAGTGCCTGATGATTGGCCTGGGGATGAGGTATTGCAGCTGTAGCTAGCGCTGCTCTTCACTGGAAACCACCAGACATACGTGCCGGACGTCTCCCCTTTGATAGCCGAGCTGCTCGCCCATGGAGTGCCCCTCAGGGGCCTCACACACCCCGTCGCCCTCGGCATGGTGAGTGGGGTGCCCTGATGCTCTGTGCCTCTTTCTCTCGCTCTGCCCTGTGAGTGCCCATGGGTTGAGTCTATTGCAGCACCAGCTACTGCTCTTCTTGGTTTACCAAAACCACCGGGCATACGCGCCGGTCCTCTCTCCTCTCGTAGCTGAGCCACATCCTTCCTTCTGCACAAAACCCTTCGCCTTCGCTCCCTCCTCTCCCCTCCCTTTTTTCGGCCTGCCCCCACCAACTCCTCACTATTCCCCATCCCCCTTGCCATACCCAGTTCCCCAGCTCCATAGAGCACAACCCCATGGCGGAGGAGTTCCGTCTATGCGGTGCCGGGCTGGTGCTTCTTCCCCTCGGTCCCCTTCCCACACCCATACACGTGCCCTCGCCCCCTCCTTCTCCCCTCGCTCCCTCCTCCCCCCTTTTTGCCTCTCTAGTTCCCCGGCTCTATAGAGCCCAACCCCATGGCAGAGGAGTTCCATCTGTTTGGCTCCGTGCTGGTGCTTCCTCCCATCCTTCCCACAGCCATCCCACACCCATTTTCCCCTTCAATCCCTCCCTTTCTCACACCCCCTCCCCCCTCTTCTCCCCGCCTCTTGCCCCTCCCAGTTCCCCGGCTCCATAGAGCACAACCCCATGGCAGAGGAGTTCCGTCTCTTCGGCGCCGTGCCGGTGACGCCTAAAGTGCTGCACCGCCTGATGGCCACCGACCAGGCGGCGCTGCTGTTTCCCGGAGGGATGAGGGAGGCATTGAGGAAGCGGGTAAGTGGCACTTGTTCTTGGGCTGCTGGCTGTGACTTGGGAGGGTGACGCCCAACGTGCTGCCCCGCCTGATGGCCACCGACCAGGCGGCGCTGCTGTTCCCGGGAGGGATGAGGGAGGCGCTGAGGAAACGGGTGAGTTGCGGTGGGGGAGCCGGTGAATGTTTTTTGGGGCTGAAATTGCGGTGTGACTTGGGATTGGGAGGGTGACCCCCAAGGTGCTGCACCGCCTGCTCGCCACAGACCAGGCGGCGCTGCTGTTCCTGGGAGGCATGCGGGAGGCACTCAGGAAGCGGGTGAGTGGCACTGGGGAGGAGATGAATGCATGTTGGTGCTGGGCTGGTGAGTTGACCCTGGGAGGTGGCTCATTGCACCGCCTGATGGCAACAGACCAGGCGGCACTGCTATTCCCAGGGGGCATGCGGGAGGCGCTGAGGAAACAGGTGAGTGGTGGTGGAGAGAGGGAGTGGCGCTGGGGGATAATTCTCACCTTTCGCTTCCCGTGCTGCAATTGCAAGGCATGCGTGTTTCTCTGCCGACCAAAGGGTTTTCTTCCAGTGCCATAATGTGCCATGCTTTGCCATCCCGTTCCACACCACGCCACTCTCCACCACTCCACACCCCAGGGCGAGGAGTACAAGCTCTTCTGGCCACACCGCGCTGAGTTCGTGCGCATGGCGGTGAGTCACCATGCTGCTAATGGTAATCCATGCTCGTGTGTCATGGAGTTGTGTGCGATGGTCAAGCACACACTTGTCTGGCAGACACATGTGTCACTCTTGAGAAGTCTCAAAGTTGTGCGAGCTTGTGAAAATGAGTGGAGGTACTCGGGTCCCTTCTCTCATCGACTTACCTGCTCTGCATCTCGACTTGTTGCCATGCCTCATGCTGCGTGTGCCATGTGCGTCATGCAGGTCAAGTTTGGAGCAGTGATCATTCCCTTTGCATCGGTGGGAGTTGACGATGCATACAATGTGAGTGACGGGTTTACACAACGAGTGTGCTTGCATGCAGGATGGGGGTGCATGCAGCACATGGGTGCATGCAGCATATGGGTGCATGCAGCATATGGGTGCATGCAGCATATGGGTGCATGCAGCATATGGGTGCATGCAGCATATGGGTGCATGCAGCATATGGGTGCATGCAGCATATGGGTGCATGCAGCATATGGGTGCATGCAGCATATGGGTCAAATGCAGCATGTATGAGATGTTTTTCATGCAAGTATCGATTATGCTGTGCCCTGCTGTTACATCATGGTATCTTTCATCCATCGTCTCCGTCTATCACCCCCCCATCACCCCCATCACCCCCATCACCCCCATCACACCCCCCATCATCCACATCACGGAGCTGCCCAATGTGCCAGTGCACGGGGAGAAGATGAATGAGTTCATGGATCCCCCTGTCTTCCCTCTCTCTTTCTTCCATCTTCCCCATCACGTCATCCACACCATCCCCATTAGTTAGTGTTGGATGCACACGAGCTGCCCAACCATGCGCTTACAATAGCTCACAGATACCCCTGTCTTCCCTCTCTTCCATCCTCCTTCTCCCTTTCTCTCCACCTTTCCTCCGCCGCCGCCCGCCCATCTCCCTCCATCATCTCCCCCATGCCCATCAGTTTGTGCTGGATGAGGACGAGCTACCCAACGTGCAGGGTTCCCCCTGTCTTCCAGGGGTCACCCCTGGGATACCGATGAGGGGGTTCAGGGTTCCCCCTGTCTTCCCTTCCCTCTTCTTCCATCTTCCCCATCCCACCATCCGCACCTTCCCCACCATCCCCATCAGTTTGTGTTGGATGCAGACGAGCAACCCAACCGTGCATGAACGATTGCTCACAGACTCCCCTGTCTTCCCTCCCTTCCATCTTCCCTCTGCTACCCATCCATCGCCCCCATCATCACCCCCACCGCCCCCATCAGTTTGTGTTGGATGCAGACGAGCAACCCAACCGTGCATGAACGATTGCTCACAGACTCCCCTGTTTTCCCTCTCTTCCATCTTCCCTCTGCTACCCATCCATCGCCCCCATCATCACCCCCACCGCCCCCATCAGTTTGTGTTGGATGCAGACGAGCAACCCAACCGTGCATGAACGATTGCTCACAGACTCCCCTGTCTTCCCTCTCTTCCATCTTCCCTCTGCTACCCATCCATCGCCCCCATCATCACCCCCACCGCCCCCATCAGTTTGTGTTGGATGCAGACGAGCAACCCAACCGTGCATGAACGATTGCTCACAGACTCCCCTGTCTTCCCTCTCTTCCATCTTCCCTCTGCTACCCATCCATCGCCCCCATCATCACCCCCACCGCCCCCATCAGTTTGTGTTAGATGCGGACGAGCTACCCAACGTGCCGGTGTACGGGGAACAGATCAAGCAGTTCATGGACTATGTGCCTAAAGTCAGGTGCGTGCGTGCGTGCGTGTGTGTGTGTGGGGGGGGGCTGTGTGCTTCAAGAGCTCATGGATTGCATCTCACAACAAGCTCACCTAACTGGTGTACGGGGAGAAGATGAAGGAGTTCATGGACTATGTGCCCACAGTCAGGTGCGTGCGTGAAGGAATGTGCTGTGTGCTTCAATAGTTCATGTCAGAATGTTCAGGCGACTACTTGCCTGACTTCAGGTGAGTGATTGCGCAGTACTCGCTTCGGTTGGGCCTCGCTTCGGAGAGTCTGAAGCCTGATCATTTCTGTGCAAGCAGCTGTCCCGTGACTCTCATGCCCCTACACATCTGAGCCACCTCTCGTTTTGCTCTCCTCCCATCTCCCCTCCCACCTCTTCCTCCATCACCCCTCTCCTCTCAACCCACTCAGAGAGGACGAGATAGCGGGGCCAGCAGCAGAGCGCTTCCTGGCGCCAGTGGTGCTGCCCAACAAGATCAACCGCCTCTACATCAAGTTTGGAGCCCCCATCCGCACCGCCGGTACGCCTCTCCTTTCCTGTGCCATCCTCTCGCTCTCTTGCTCGGACACACCGCAACCACTCCTTATGCTCTGGCACAAACGGTGCTCCCCTACAAGATCAACCGCCTCTACATCAAACTCGGCGCCCCCATCCACACTGCCGGTGCGCCCCTCCTGTCACCACCATTGTCTTGTTCTCTTGCTCCCACACACCTCAACGCTCCTTGTGGTGCGGGCGGTGCTGCCGAGTATGCCGTGCTGCTGTGGAAGATTACCCACTGGCAGCAACAGCAGCAGCACTGACAGTCCCCTAGTCTGTGTGTGAGGGCCTTGCAGGAAAGCAGTGTTTCGTCTCCCCCCTCCTTCCCCTTCCTCTATCTCCCCCTTACCTTCTCTATCTCCCCCTTACCTCCTCTATCTCCCCCTTACCTTCTCTATCTCCCCCTTACCTTCTCTGTCTCCCATCCATCCCTCCTCTCCTCTCCCCTCTCATCCACCCCATCCTGCCCAGGCATGCGGGAGGTGTTGACAGACCAGCAGGCAACAGCAGCGCTGTACGCGCATGTGAAGGGCGAGGTGGCAAGGGGAATAGAGCAGGGTCCTTGCACTCTCACACTGCCATTCCCTTACCCCTCTCCCCTCCCACCCTTCAGGCATGCGGGATGTGTTGACAGACCAGCAGGCAGCAGCAGCGCTGTACGCACATGTGAAGGGGGAAGTGAAAGCAGGGATAGAGTACCTGCTGAGAAAGAGAGAGGAGGACCCATATGCCGACCTTGGGGCGAGATTGTTGTACGAAGCCACGTGGGGGGGCGAGAGGCAAGCACCCACTTTCAAGCCCTGAGGGACATGGCAACAAAGCATCTGTGACGTGGCATGCGAAGAGCTTGTTACCTTGTTAGTAACAGTCGATGCTGTATGCCTCCCTACCATGTGTGCTTGCTACCGATATAAGGCTGTTCCAGGCGCATGATCTAATGTGAATAAGTCAGTAAATTATTCACCCAGCAGTATGCATAGTGCATAGTTGTTGTTCTTCTAAGGTCTGATTTGTCGATTACGGTATGATACAGCGGTCAGGCAGAGATACTCTGAGAGGAAGACCCTGGGTACGAGGGACACAGTGTATCTACTTGGTGGAGTTACCAAGCGTGGAATAAGGTACTGGTGTGGAACCAACAGGTGGGAGCGGCGGCTACTGGGCTGGCTCGCACTCTTCATTTCCCTTTCCCCGCCAAGTGTTGCTGCTACTCCGGCTGATTTAATCTTGCCTGTGTGCTCTCACTGGCTGCAGTTGCCATACTCCTCTCCACCCACACTGCCCTCCACCCACACTGCTCTCCCCTGATGCTCGGAAGCACTCGAATCTGCCCGCTACCGCCCCAACCTCACATCAGCGCCAAGCCTTGCTGCTACTGCAGCTCTCGCAGTCTTGCCCGTGCACTCTCACTCACGGCAGCTGCCAAGCCTCTCTCCACCCACTCCCGCCGCTCCTCCCCGCTGCTCTCCCCTGCTGCTCGGTAGCACATGAACGCCAGGCAGTCCCCAGGCGCTGAGGAGAAGCCCTGCAGCAGGAGTGGGAGAAAGAAGGAATGGGTGCGAGGGGTGAGTGCGACGTGAGTATATGAAGGGGACAAGGCGTTAGCACATGAACGCCAGGCAGTCTCCAGGTGCTGAGGAGAAGCCCTGCAGTGGAAGGGAGGAGGGGGGACGGGGTGAGTGTGCGTGAGAGGTGAGTGAGGAGTGAGTGTGGGGAACACAGGTGAAGTGGAAGCTCGCAAATGCCAGACAGTCTCTAGGTGCTGATGAGAATCCGTGCGGCAGATGAGAGGAGGAAAAGAAGGATGAGTGGTGGAAGTGACGCATGGAAAAGAAGGATGAGTGGTGGAAGTGACGCATGGAAAAGAAGGATGAGTGGTGGAAGTGACGCATGGAAAAGAAGGCGTTGATGTGAGAAGGATAGGGCGGGAAGCAAAGACTGGGCCAGTACAATGAAGGTGGATGATCAGAAAAGAGAACAGTGGGCTGATTCAAAAGTGGCTTCGCCCGGACTTGAACCGGAGACCTTCAGTGTGTTAGACTGACGTGATAACCAACTACACCACGAAACCACAAGACAACTGTGCAGCAAACATACAAAACAGCCAACAGTAGAACACAACCCACATCTCCACCCTCACCTATCTGCCCTCACGTCTCTGCACTCCCCCCTCTCCCCTCCCCTCTCTCCTTCCCCTCACTCCCCTCTCTCCCCTCCCCTCTCTCCCCTCCCCTCTCTCCTTCCCCTCACTCCCCTCACCTCTCACCTCTCTCCTCTCTCTCCCCTCACCTCTCTGGAGTTGGATCGCCTGGCATGGTCCCTCATGGCGCGCACCAGCTCTCTCACACCCCCTGCATCCAGCCCTTGCTGGGCCACATAGGCTGCTGCTTGCTGCAACCGGAAGGGGGGAGAGTGGTGGGAAGAGTGCTGGGAGGGAGAGAATGAGCCACAAAGCAACATGGAGATTTAGGCCCCACCACCTGTACAAATCCCACCACCCCCACCACCACCCTCACCGCCACCCCCACCACCCCAGCAGCACGCACCCGTCGGCCAGCTGTGGCCAGGGTGCGCATCTCATACATCAGCTCATACAGCAGCTCATACAGCAGCTCATACAGCAGCTCATACAGCAGCTCATACAGCAGCTCATACAGCAGCTCATACAGCAGCTCATACAGCAGCTCATACAGCAGCTCATACAGCGGCTCATACAGCAGTTCATACAGCAGCTCATACAGCAGCTCATACAGCAGCTCATACAGCAGCTCATACAGCGGCTCATACAGCGGCTCATACAGCAGCTCATACAGCAGCTCATACAGCAGCTCATACAGCAGCTCATACAGCAGCTCATACAGCAGCTCATACAGCAGCTCATACAGCAGCTCATACAGCAGCTCATACAGCTGCTCCGCACTCTGCTCTGATTGGAACGCCATCGGGCCGCACCAACCACAGCACACTCCACCTCCCCCCAACACAGACCCACCATCCCCACCAGCTTTGCTATGCCCACCACTCCCAACCCAGCAGCACCTACCCGTCGGCCGGCCGTGGGCAGCGTGCGCAGCTCATAGAGCAGCTCTGCGCTCTGCTCTGCGTGAAACGCTACCGCCACGTCAAAGCTGCTGTCGGGCCCGTCTCCCTCAACCTCCTGTGCGCCTGGCAGCAGCGACTCATACACCTGCCATAGCAGCAGCAGCAGCACAGGGAAGAGTGGAATGAGGGGGTGGGCATGGGGAACGGGGCATGTACATGGGCTATGGTACATGGGCTAGGGCACATGGGTTATGGCACATGGGCTATGGCACATGGGCTATGGCACATGGGCTATGGCACATGGGCTATGGCACATGGGCTATGGTACATGGGCTATGGCACATGGGCTATGGCACATGGGCTATGGCACATGGGCTATGGCACATGGGCTATGGCACATGGGCTATGGCACATGAGCTATGGCACATGGGCTATGGCACATGGGCTATGGCACATGGGCTACGGCACATGGGCTATGGCACATGGGCTATGGCACATGGGCTATGGCACATGGGCTATGGCACATGGGCTATGGCACATGGACATGGGCTATGGCACATGGACATGGGCTATGGCACATGGGCTATGGCACATGGGCTATGGCACATGGGCTATGGCACATGGGCTATGGCACATGGGCTATGGCACATGGGCTATGGCACATGGCTATGGCACATGGGCTATGGCACATGGGCTATGACACATGGGCTATGGCACATGGCTATGGCACATGGCTATGGCACATGGGCTATGGCACATGGGCTATGGCACATGGGCTATGGCACATGGGCTATGGCACATGGGCTATGGCACATGGGCTATGGCACATGGGCTATGGCACATGGGCTATGGCACATGGGCTATGGCACATGGGCTATGGCACATGGGCTATGGTACATGGGCTATGGCACATGGGCTATGGGCTATGGCACATGGGCTATGGCACATGGACATGGGCTATGGCACATGGACATGGGCTATGGCACATGGGCTATGGCACATGGGCTATGGCACACTATGTTGCGCCTGACGCGTCAGGCGTTTTTTACGCTGGCGTCTGGATGGGGCGTCCAGGCGCTTGACGCCCGGTGCCCTCTGCCCTGGACGCCCGCTTGACGCTAGTCCGGGCAGGGCAAAAATGTTTTCCGGGCAGGGGTAAAAAAACCTGCGTAGTAAGGATACGCAGGGGTTAGAATGCAAGAAGTTCACATTTGTAACCTATAGTTATAAATACTCCATAAAATCCTGAAAATCCTGAAAATCTCCTAATCTCACACACAAGTTAAATGATATCTTAATCGCCTTAATCTAATTTTAGCTAGGAAGGCTTAGTAGCGTGACTGGCGGATTCTAGTGTAAGGAATGCTTGGCAATGTCGAGAGAAACAGATCTGTGTAATGTCGACCTAGATCTGGTTCTCTAGTTTAGTTAGGGGGTCGACCAGGTTGGGAGAAGTAGATGTGGATGGGTACAAATGTGTGGGGGTTAATAAATGAGGGTTGCATTTTTTTAGGTCAAAAACGCGGCCCCTAGTTGGCAATTTCATCGCAATTCTGGTCGCGATGAAATCGCGAGTCAATTTCGTGCAGGAGAGAAAAAAAAATCGGGCTGCCCGAAATTTTTTTCCCCGAACGTCCAGCGTCCGGACGTTCACGCTGCCCTTCCAGGGCGTCAGGCGCAACATAGATGGCACATGGGCTATGGCACATGGGCTATGGGCTATGGCACATGGACATGGGCTATGGCACATGGACATGGGCTATGGCACATGGGCTATGGCACATGGGCTATGGCACATGGGCTATGGCACATGGGCTATGGCACATGGGCTATGACACATGGGCTATGGCACATGGGCTATGGCACATGGGCTATGGCACATGAGCTATGGCACATGGGCTATGGCACATGGGCTATGGCACATGGGCTATGGCACATGGGCTATGGCACATGGCTATGGCACATGGGCTATGGTACATGGCTATGGTACATGGGCTATGGTACATGGGCTATGGTACATGGGCTATGGTACATGGGCTATGGTACATGGGGACATAGCACAGGGAAGGGGACATAGCATAGGGAAGGGGGAATAGTACAAGGAAGGGAATAGCATAGTTAAGGGGCATGGGTCATGGCACACGGGGAAGGGAGGGAGAGCAGAGCACCTGAGCAGCGACGACAAGCACGGTCACTTGGCCATGCGCCAGCATTGCCACATCCGCCACCTCCTCTGCCGTCATGCCCGCCTGCTGTAGCTGCCTGTGGGGAGGGAGGGGGAGGAAGTGAAAGCAAGGTAACTGGAGGGATGATTGGAAAGCAGGGCCTCTTGTTGAGGTGCATCAAGCATGCGCCAGCATTGCCACATCTGCCACCTCCTCCGCTGTCATGCCCGCCTGCTGCAGCTGCCTGCGGGGAGGGTGAGAAGAGGGAAAGCGAGGGAACGAAAGAGATGAAAGGAAATCAGGGCCTATCCTTGAGTTGCCTCAAAGCATGTGCCAGCAGTGCCACATCTGCCACCTCCTCCGCTGTCATGCCCGCCTGCTGCAGCTGCCTGCCTCCACGTAATGCCAGGGCGGTGTCAGGGGGGCATGGGGCCGTGCCGTGGTAGAGGGTGGAGGGATGGGTAAAGGGAGTAGGGGAGGGAGAAGGATGCAGATCCAGGATTCCAGGTTTCTAGGAGTAATGAGCTGTTGGCTACGGGAACAAAGGGTTACAAGAAGCTCGGGGAAGCACAGCAATTTCACCTGAAAGCATCAGCAATTTCACCGGAAGGCATCAGCAATATCACCTGAAGGCATCAGCAATTTCACCTGAAGGCATCAGCGATTTCACAGAATAGCAGCAGCGATTTCACTGATAGCAGCAGCGATTTCACCTGATAGCAGCAGCGATTTCACCTGATAGCAGCAGCGACCTCCTGCCAGGAGCCACACCCCTCTCTCACTGCCGCGATCAGCTCCTCCCTCCGCTCCCTCTCCTTCCGCCTCCCCTCCTCCGCTTCCCCCGAATCTTCTCCCCCAGGTGCCCCCATGGGGAACATCGGCGCGCCTGGGACTGCGGGAGAGGGGGGGAAAAGGCGGAGCGGAATGGAGCGACCGCGGGGGGAAGGGTGAGGCGCAATAGACGCCTTTGGAGCGCCTGATCCTCAGGGGCGGGCGGGGAGTGGGAATGAGCGGAGAGGCGGTTACGCGGGCGGACCGGGGATGAATTAAGAGGGGAAGGGTTGGGTGAAAGGGGGGAGGGCGGAAGGGAAGGGCGGAGGCGGAGCTCACTGGGCAGCGGGGGCGGGCGGAACTGCCCGAGGGCGGGCGGGGACGCGGCGGACATCATGCGTCGGACGTTCTTCGCGGATCGGCTCATCACTTTCATTGGCGGCGGCGGCGGCCGCGAGTCGCTGCCCTCTGGCGGCTCGCGCTGCGAGGAGGTTGCGGAAGCTCTTAGCACGAGCGGTGCGCGCAGCTTAAGAGGCGCGTGATTGGGCGATGCATGCTTCCGCCGTGGGAGAAGGGCGGCTGGGCGTTGCGCGAATGCGGGAGGGAGAAGAACGGTGGGGGGAGGAGGAAGCGGGCGGGCGACTAGCGCTGCTGCTGAGGTGAGCTGCGACATTGGATCCGTCGCACGGTGGCGACTGTGCGACAGTGCTAGTCAGTAATGCGGCAGGCGTCAACGTGACAAGAAGTGCGTCGGGTTCAGGGAGGATGGCGAATAAGAGGCGCCTGTGAATCTGTGATCTGAAGCCACGAGAGTTGGGGGGTGGGCAATTTAAAAAAATGCGATAAAAAACGCCTCATATACCACGTACAACGTACAGATGCACACAAACATCTTATAGATTACCTGACCTGATCTTCCAAATTTACTGCTAGGAGTCTGGATTTTCACCTCCAGTGTTATGAAGGGCATGCGTTTGCAAGCCCACAAGCCTGCAACCGCAAGCCCGCATGGGTGCCATATATGAAAGAACGTGTGGTACTCTGTACACTCTGAAATCTTCAGTGAGCCTTGATATACCATGTGGAAAACACTGCCCTATTTCGCGAAGGGCCAAAACGCCTAACAAGCTACATCTACTCCATCAGGCCAAGCTACAGCCTACTTTGGGCATTTAAACCTATGTCGTTTTTTACAGAATGGTTTTATCAATGGTTTGGAGCACGGAACTGCAACCCAATAAGGCCACACACACAGACCCACAGAAACAGAGTATCCACATGTAGAGAAGACATCAGCAAGAGAATGAGAAAGAAAACATGGAAAGGTACGAACTGCAGATTACAGCCAGAAATTATAGCAAGTGAAGGCCGGCGAGGGGCAAAGAAGGGGAGAGGAGAGGAATGGGAGAAGAGAGGAGAGGGGGAGAGGGGAGGAGAGCGGGAGACAGGAGGAGAGGGGGAGAGGAGAGGAGATGGTGGGGGACGGAGCGAGGAGAGATTATGGGATTGAGAGACCAAGCAGCTTTTAACAGCTCATGCCAGTGCTCACACACTCACCGCATCTTCTTCTCGTCGCGTAAGTTCCGGTGGGGCAAGAGTTGCACTTCCAACCCTTATCAGGCGGGTTCGACAGCGCATCAACCTCCCACGGCGGCCAATCTCCATACTGAGGAATACACGACTTGGCCCACTTGCACTGAAACGAGTTGAGCAACTTCCGCTTGGCACAGGGGTTCCGCCGGCATCCGATGGTGCGCTGGCGGCGTGGAAACCCGGTTACCCCGTTACAGCCGGAGGTGCGCGAGAGGCAGTTCATGGCGGCGTTGCAGACGCGCAGGCGGCGGGCAGCGGGTGGGAGGGGGCCGGTGAGGAAGTTGACTGAGAGGAAGAGCGCTGTGAGCTTGGGTCCGATTTTCCTTATTGTGCCCGTTAGCTTGTTGCCCTGTAATGAGCTGGAGGGGGAAGGGGGTTGTTGGAGGGAAGTGGAGGGCGGAGAGGGGAAGGGGGAGGATTGGGTTTCTTTTAGTCAATTCAAAAGCCTGGTGTTGCAGGCGGGAGGCGGGCAAGAGTGAGCCGGTGAGGAGGTTGACTGAGAGGAAGAGCGCTGTGAGCTTGGAACCCACGGCCTTTATTGTGCCCGTTAGCTTGTTGCCTTGTAACGACCTGGGGGGGTGGGAAAGGAGCGGAAGGAAAGGAAGGGGAGAGGGAGGGAGGGGGAGGAGGCAAGGGAAGGGGAGAGGGAGGGTGGAGGGGGGTTGGGCTGGGTAGAAGAGGATAAGGATGCAGTGAGGAAAGGGGAAGGGATTGAAGAGGGGAGGGAGGTGTTGGACCAGCATGGTAAAGGGGGAGGTGAGGGAAGCAAGAAGCAGCGGAGGGTTTGGTGGGTGATAAGGCAGGAAAAGCGGTTCTCCAGTCTCTGATACACAGAGGCCCTCAGCATGCTTGGAATGGAGGCAGACGGATGGGGATTGGCTCGGGAAAAGAGAGAGGTGGCATAGGTGGTTGAAGTGAGACAAGGGGGGAGACGGGGAGAAGAGGTGGGGCAGGAAGGAAGGCAGACGGAGGAAGGGCACTTACAGGTCAGTTAGAGTGGGTGAGTTAATGAGGTAAGGTGGGACGGGCCCATAGAAGGAGTTCCCATCCAACACTCTGCAGACAGAGGAGGGGTGACGGTGGAAAGGCGTGATGATGGTGGTAAGGCATGATGAGCATGGTATTAAGACATGATGATGGTGGTAAGACATGATGATGATGGATGGTGGCGCGTGAGGTCAACAAGGCAATGCGATGGGTCAGAAGAAAATGACCACACAACAAACAGATGACAGGGAAGGGCGAATCTGACAGAAAAAGGCGAATCTGAGAAAAAGTCACGTTAAGCAAGGCAGGGGAGGCGTGACTCACAAATGTCTTAGGTTAGGCAAACAGGAGAGGGGTCTGGCGAAGTCGTCTAGTCTTGTGTTAATGAGTCCCATGATGAGCACTCTGGTGGTGCAGCACCATGTGCCACCACCACGATGGAGGGGGGAAAGGGGAAGGAAGGGGGGAAGGAGGAGGGGGAAGGAGGAGGGGGAAGGAGAGGGGGAAGGCGAAGGAAGGTGGCAATTAGATAAGTGAGGAGAGGGGTCTGGCGAAGTCGTCTAGTCTGGTGTTATTAAGGCCCATGATGAGCACCCTGGTGGGTGCAGCACCGTGCCATCACACCAGGATGGATCATGGAGGGGGAAGAGGGAAGGGGGGAAGGAGGAGGGGGCGGGGAAAGGGGGGAGGAGAGTGGGAGGAGAGTTCAAGGGGGAGGGGGGTTGGGAGGAAAGGGAAGAGGGGGAGGAGGGGGAAATGGGAGAGGGGAGGGAGGTTGAAGAGCAATGGGAAGGAGGGGGGCGCGGGCGGAGAAAGGTGGCAATCTGGTAAGAGGCTGAGAAGCAAGCAGGAGAGTGGGAACCAATATAGGACGAGGGGAGAATAAGGTGCCAGTGGGTAGGATGACATAGAAGCATGGTTGACAGCAGCAAGAGATGGAGGAGGAGGAGAGGCACGTTCACACCTGGGGGTTCCGGTAGGAACGAGGACCGTTTGACACTAGAACAGTTTGACACGAGGATTATGTGACATGAGGACTGTAAAGCAGAGCAGGAATATGAGGCGTACAATCTGGTGAGTGTGGTGAGGCGGGCGAAGGCGGTGGGGAGGGATCTGAGGCCCACGAGGGAGTTGCCGAGCGTGGGTATCCTGATAGGGGGGCGATGGGGATGGGGGGAGGCGGAGGGGAATGGGGGGAGGCGGAGGGCGATGGGGATGGGGGGAAGACTTTTGAGTCGACTCAAAAGTCAAAGGCGGTGGGGAGGGATCTGAGGCCCACCAGGGAGTTGCCGAGCGTGGTTATCCTGGTAGGGGGCGATGGGGATGGGGGGAGGCCGGGGGGCGATGGGGATGAGGGGAAGGGGAGGGCGATGGGGATGAGGGGAAGGGGAGGGCGATGGGGATGAGGGGAGAGGGGGGGAGGAGGATGAGGACAAGAGAGGAGGGGCCGATAGGTGAAGGGACGGGACATGGGGAATGCGTGCTAGAGGGACGATGGCGCATGGGGTGGGGGAGGGAGCATGGGGCGGAGGAAGGCGCATGGGGTGGGAAAGGCGCATAGAGGGAGCACGGGGTGGGGGATGGCGCACGGGGTGGGGGATGGCGCACGGGGTGCGGGATGGCGCACATGGCGCACGGGGTGGGGGATGGCGCAGCGGGCGGTGTGGGGATGGCGCATGGGGTGGGGGGTGGAGCCCGGGGTGGGGGAGGACGCATGGGTTGGGGGCGGACGCATGGCGTGGGGAGGGGCGCATGGGGCGCGGGATGGCGCAAAGGGGGGGGAGGATGGCTTATGGGGTGGGGGAATGGCACAATGGGCGGGGATGGCGGATGGGGTGGGGGGGTGGCACATTGGGCGGGAATGGCGCATGGGGTGGGGGGGTGGCACACAGGCGGGACTATCACAATAGAGACTGCAGGACGCGAAGTCAAGGTGGGGTGCGGGCAAGAGGGAGAGAGAGATCAAGTTTGGGCAGGAACGAGAGACACGGAGCATAGGGGCGTGAAGGATGACAGGAGAAGGAATAGAGCTAGGAGGAAAAGGGAAAGAAGTGGCGGGAAGAGGGAGGGAGGGGGAAGGGGGAATAGGAAGAGAAATGAGAAAGAGAAGATGTAGAAAACGAGCGGGAGGCCGAGGAAGGGGCGGAAGGGGAGCGGAAAGAGAAGCAATGAGAGTACCAGGGAACACAAGGACGATGCAAGGGGAAGAGAGAGCAGTACTCGAAGTATCGGATAGGGAAGATCATGCGGGGGAGATTCGAGCGCAACACCCCAACGCGGAGGTTCCGCGGAGGGTCGGCGGAATTGTGACGCGCAGGCGGCAGCGACAGAGACACACACGCGACGGCATGAATGGCGGGATGCGGGGGGGACCGGGAATGGCGGGATGTGGGGCGCAACGGGAGGGGGTGGCGTGGCGTGAGAAAACAAGTCGCTCACCTAAACGCAATGATGGCATCGACGCGACGAGCAGTTGCGCCTGACGTGGCAAAGATCATGACGGACGTGGCAAGCGTGGCTATTGACGTGGCAGTGAGAGACGTCCACGTGGCGGACGGGCGAGTGCGCGTCGGCGTTGCTTACATGGCACGAGGGTTGCCGTTGGAGTCGCAGATCACGCCCTTAAAGCCGCTGCCCGTGCCGTCGTCGGAGCACGGCGCGCCTTCACTCCAGTTCTGCTCCGGGTCGAGATTGAATGCCGTCATAATCTCGTACATGGGTTGCACTGCGAGCGACGAAACACAGCAGCGTGGATAGAAGATCGTCAGGTCGTCAGGTCGTGCTGGTCTCGTACGTGTGTGGCATTGATTAGGCGCCTAAACTTTTCCGTACGTCCGTAGCACTTCGTGCCACGGGACCCGCAACGCGACACTCAACTCGAAAGCATCAAGACTGGGCGATGAGCGTAACAATCTACAGGAGGAAAACGGCGAGAAAACGACCTGCTGGCTACCTGCATGCCTGCTTTCGAGCTCCTACAAGCGATCGCTTCAACCCGGTCCTGCCGGTCTGCAGGCTCCTTTTCACTGGTCCCCTCTGACAAACCCGGCTAACAGTGATCGCTTCAGCCCACTCGGTGCTTTCCTCCCAAACTAACAATCTAACGGCTCGCGAGGCCTCTAAGGCAAACGGAGGACGAGGCAGCGAGAACGATGTGCACGTGCTGAGAGGAGGCAGGTCGCGAGTGGACGCGCGAATTGGATAAGTATAGGGTTGGGTGCGGGGAAGGCTGGGATGAAGAGGGAAGGCGATTGGGGAGAGAAAGACGGGTGGATGACGGAACTGGCAAAGCGTGTAGCGGGAGGGTGACAGAGCATGGTGCACAGCGGGAGAACGAAAGAGCACGCGCGTTGCGATGGTCGGCGAGACAGGAGAGTCGCCAAAACGACTGAAGCTTCCATTCGAGCAGCTTTTTCAACAATATAACCGTAATCAGCTGACGGAGCGGTGTGACTGCCAGTTGCTCTCTGAGCTCATTCAGAAAGGATCCCCATGGTCCACACAGCACGTCCATGGTCTCTATTATAGGTAGTTCCCCCGGTCTTACCGAACTTGGAGTTGAATGGCATTTCCGTTGTCGCCAATGCCGCACGATGTTTATTCGATGGGAGTAACAGCAGCACAAGTAGCAGGGTAATGAGCATGCTGCGACTATCGACATGGAAAAATGGTGGACGATCGATCGCCGTCGAAGAGGGGAGAATGCAACGCCTGTTGACGCGCGCGATTGCTACGTGTCTAGCTGATTTGAAAACGTCAACCAGAGAAATAAGCTCCTAAAACGGCTGGACTAGGCGCCGCTATTACAACGCGTCGCGTTTTCCCTTTCTAAGGTGCAGGGCAGACACTAAAGTTTCTGTCGATAGGACGAACTGTTGGTTCTGCAAAAGGTGAATAAATCGCTGGACATCTTGTTCGTCTCCGTAGCGCATGAGTCGCACTGTCGACGATGCTAAAGAACAAATACTCAAGTGCTAGGAGAATGGTCCAAGTCCAAGCCTTGTACTGTAAACCGTTTTCGCTGGAACATCAGCAAGATCGTTCCGTGCATGGAGACTACGAGAGCCGTGAACTGACAACACTGTCCCGTCTGGCATCAAACAGCCGAAAGCAAGCGAGTGTGAAAATTTGTTGGTAGAGGGGGAGGCAGAGTCAAGTTAGGTCAGGAGGAATAATCCCTTCCAGGGGGATGGTTGGTGGGTGGGGTCGGTGAGGAGGTTGTAATGAAGAAAAGGGTGGAGTGGAGAGGGGGAGGCAGGGAAAGGTGCAGGCAGGCAGCCATGGTGCCTGCCATGGCAAGAATGTTCCATTCCAGCCACGGCGAAGCCATTTCCCGCACTAGCAACTCCCCCTGGTTGGTGCTTGTGCTCCGCCGTTGGCCTGGTTTGGCTTGTCTGGTCTGGTTTGATCCGTCGGAAAAAAGTTCTTCCTTGCGGAAAAGTTCCACTATCCCGACTCCCGAACCAAGAGAGTATCACCCTGCTAAGATTGCAGAGGAAGGTGAGGACAGCTCTACTTAGCCGATCAGATTGCAGAGGTTTTATTCTGCCCGTTATTCGACCATTCGGGAGCGTGACATAAGCACGTCGAATACGGGTCAACAGTCGCAGAAACTGTTGGAGCGCACTTATCACCGACTTTGGTTCGGTGATCCCTAGGGCGATGAGCGCACTTATGAGCAACTTGTCTTGGTTCAACTGTAGATGACTTCCTCTATCAAGGGCAGCTACTACATCTTTTCCTCATCAACATCTTGATCACATCACGTGATCAAATATATGCACAAGAACTTGCAGGTTTGGCGATAACAGAAGCAAAGCTACAAACAGTTGGTAAAACAAGAAACCTTTTGACCGTACAATGGATGATAGAAACAAATACATGATACAATCGTGTTCATATGCAGCATATGGGCAAATCCACAAATCACATACGGTATTCCTGGTTCCGGACTTCAGGCACTCATACAGTACATGCACGTGTACCATGCACGTATCATCACTGCAATGTTCGTCCCATTTGTATCATGCATCCAGGCATCCAACCAACCATGCGAACTTGTATGACTAGGCTGCACAAGGCGTGATCAGATCACCCGAATAAGCCACCATCTATCAGTCAAATGGCAGGGCTTTGCGCTCAAACACCCCGACGGCCACGCCACGGCATGACACGGCATCTCATCGCCTCCAGATTCCCAACCCTTTTCCCCAATCCCACCCCCATTCCCACCCCCACACAAACCCCCCCTACCACAACGACTTGTCAGACAATAACATAGCCAGTCAATGACACAGCCAGACAATGACACAGCCAGACAATGACATGCATACTGCAACATATCACAGCATGAGAATCATAACAGACAGCACTGCAGCTCACCCATGCACCCATGCATGAGAATGCACATCATTCCACGCGCTCTGACAGACCACAATATTGCATCGCACAATATGAGATCCGCAGTAGCAACATGCTATAAATATGGTGCCATACTCTTACAACCCAGAATGGGGCACGCCAAAAATATGCCACAACACACACACAATCACACACCACACTATACCAACTGTACAATCATCCATCATACAATCACACACCACACTGTCACACACCACACTATCATACAGCACACTCTCACATGCCACACTATCACACGCCACATTATGATGTACCACACTATAACAGACCACACTAAGACATGCCAAGGCCACAGTATGGTAAGCCATACTAAAGCCACCACCACCACCATCAACAGTGATACGAACCAAACAACCACGACGCACACCATGACCACCACTGAAACCTGACACACAGAAACATGGCACATAGTAAGACACCATCCAGTAACATACCACACAGTAGCATGCCACAAGGTAACACACCATACAGTAACAGGCTCGCAGAACATATCACACAGCAGCATACCACATTGAAACATGCCACGCAGTTACATACCACGCAGTAACATGACACACAGTCACATACCACATATAACATACCAAACACACAATAACATACCACACCACAACATACCACACAATAATGTACCATGCAGTAACATAACACACACTATAGTACCACACAATAGCATGCCACATCATAACACACCACACGATAACATACCACACAATAGCACACCACACAGTAACATACATTCCACACATTAACATACTAAACAGTAACATACCACACAATAGCATACTACACAGTAATATACCACATGCATGCATGCCAGGGCCTCTGCTGCTACTCGCTACCGCCCACTCCCCTCCATGCCCTTACCGGCGACAGCAGCACGTTGGCAGCTTTCAAATCGCGGTGGATTATGTTGAGTGCATGCATGTACATCAGCGCCTCTGCTACTTGCACTGCCACCTTCAGCCGCATGGCCCAGCTAAAGACGAGCTCTCCCTCCGCACCTGGTTAACATACCACACGATAACATACTACACAATATCATACCACATAATAACATACCACACAGTAACACACCACACAACAACATACCACACAGTAACATACCATACAATAACATACCACACAGTAACATACTACACAATATCATACCACATAATAACATACCACACAGTAACATACCACACAACAACAGACCACACAATAAAATACCACACACTAACAGACCACACAGTAACATACTACACAATAACAGACCACACAATAACAGACCACACAATAACATACCACACAGTAACATACCACACGGTAACATACCACGCGATAACATACCACACTATAATACCACACAGTAACATACTACAGAATATCATACCACATAATAACATGCCACACAGTAGCATACTACAGAATATCATACCACATAATAACATACCACACAGTAACATCCACACAATAACTTACCACACACTAACATACCACACAGAAACATACCACACAGTAACAAACCACACAATAACAGACCACACTCTAACATACCACACACTAACATGCCACACAGAAACATACCACACAGTAGCATACCATACAATAGCATACCAAACAGTAACATGCATGCCACACAACATCATACTACACAATAACATACCACACAGTAACATACCCTTCCCACCTTCACTGCCCCACCCACCCCACTTCACACCAAACACCCACCACAACTTACCATCCCATCCCCCAGCAGTAGGAGCAGCAGACAGCCCACTCCCTTTCGGAAACAGCAGCTTCAGTGGATGTGACTTGCAGGGGAGGTATGGCAGTGGAAAAGCATGATCTGGCCCAAGACTCAAATCCCACCCCTGACGTAGCTAGAGCTGACGCGAACCAGAGCCGCCGGCCGGTCGGCTCTGACGGTGTCCATTAAGCTTTGAACGCCAGATCGGTTACTTGAGCACCGAGTGCCGCCGCCACGCAGATTCCACCCACCACACCCCACCCACAAGCCACAACCCCAGAGGGTGCCGCCCCTGAGAGAGTGTGCTGCCCGCTTGCTCCCATGCTGCCCCTCCACCCGCCCACCTCCCCCCATCCCTTCAGCCCGTGCCTGCTTACCTCTACTTACCTGTACCTACCAGAGCCGTGCAGAGCCATGATGCCTGAGGCTGCTGGGAAGTGGGGAGGGGGGAATTAAACGAGGGCGGGACTCCACTGTAGTCTAGGCAGGGTGCTGTTGGGTGGGAGGGAGGAGGGAGAGAAGAGGAGGTGAGTGAGAGGGTCGACTCCACACTCCGCCCTTGCTCCAGTGCTCCCACCCTCAGGCTGCAGGAGAGAAAGGGAGAGAAAGAAAGGAGGGGGTCAGAATGCCTGACCTGTAACCATACCTCACCTGTTACCACACCTTGCATACCATGACTCGATCTAGCCTAGCCTGCCCTCTAGCCCCCCAGCCCCCTTCTGCTGCTACCGCTGCTGCTGTTCTGCTTCTGCTGCTACAACTGCTGCTGCCGGTCTGCTTCTCAGCTGCATTCTTCCCTTGATGCCAAGTGACCTAGTGGCGGGCAGAAAGGAGGAGAAGAAACAATGAGTGAGGGTTTGCCAAAACATGGCAGAGGGTAAAGCTGCCAGAATAAAAAATGACGACAGTAAGACAGAAGAGAAACATGCAGCAGAAGGAAAATTTGAGGCCAAGGAGAAAGCCGACGTACCTTGAGAGGCCGAGCCCACCCCGATACTCTCCCTTGTGGCAGCGATTGCCATCTGCTGCAGTGCTGCCTCCCTCCCGTCCCCACGAGTCCCTGCACGGCCACAGGGGAGAGGCGTGGGGAAGTGTCGGTGTTGACCCCAGCGCCCCTCCCCTCCACCTGCAATGAACACAAGCAGAGATAGTCAGTGAGCAGTCATAACACAAGACTGAGATGGCAGCTGGGAATCCAAACGCAGGGAAGTGGAGGGAAGGGGCCACTGGTGGAGAGAAGAATTACAAGCCACAGACCATCAAGGGAAACCTGAAAAGTGAATTTGAAATTAGGGGGTAACCTGAGGGGAATGCAAGGGTTAGGGCGGGCTTAACCTGAGGGGCTTAGCAACAGAAAGGGGGGTGGTGGTCTGTGGCTTGCAAATCAGGACTCAACCAGTGGCAAGCTGTCCAGGGAGAAAACACGGGAAGCACATGCAAAAATGAATCAGCCAGCAATGTGAGGAAAGAGCACATGAGCAGCAAGCAAGGTTGAGTCCAGGGAGGAGGCATTTAGCTGGCAGCTGAAGATGTTGACTCGTTCCCTTCCCTCCCCTGCTCCTTGTGCACTTCCCCCCCCCTCTGCCCCCTGCTGCTGCTGCTGCTGCTTCCCCTGGTGACTAGCGAGTGACCTGGAAGGGGGCAGAACGGAAGGGAAGGACAGGGGGCGAGTGAGTGCAGGCCTTGGCCCAAGCAAGGGCGAAACAGAAAGTTGAGCAGCAGGGGGAGGCACTGATGCTAAGAGTGAAGAGAAACGAGCAGCAGAAAGCGAGGTTGAGGCCAAGGAGAAAGCCGACGTACCTTGAGAGGCCGAGCCCACCCCGATACTCTCCCTTGTGGCAGCGATTGCCATCTGCTGCAGCGATGCCTCCCTCCCGTCCCCACGAGTCCCTGCACGGCCACCGGGGAGAGGCGTGGGGAAGTGTTGGTGTTGACCCCAGCGCCCCTCCCCTCCACCTGCAATGCACACACACAGCAATGGTCAGTGTGCATGAAATGGCCGCAACACCACCACAACCCAGAAAATGCAAAGTCTGGAAGTGAAAGAAGGGCCACTGGTTGAGGCAAGGCCACACGCCACAGACACCAAGGGAACCTGCACCTGAGGAGGAGACCTGCATACCTGAGAGGGTTACCTGAAATGTGGGGGTATGTGTGTGGCATGTGAACCGCGCTCAACCAATGGGATTGTTTTAAAGCACAACTGGCAAACGAAATGGCAGCAAGGAAAGCGCAATGTGGAGGGCAAGGGTGAGTGCATCGAACTGGTTACTTAGAGCGAGGTCAAGGAAGCTGAAGCACCACCAGATGCCTCCCTCCACGGCAGCCAAACTCCCAGCCTTCCCAGAGATGCTGTTCCGCTCCCTCCTCTCCCCTGCTGCTTGTCCACTCCCCCCTCCAAGTGATGCCATCAGTGTGACCTGGAAGGGGGCAGAAAGGAGAGAAGGAGGCGAGTGAGTGCAGGACTTGAAGGGAGCAAGTGCGACCACAGCAGGTAAAGGCAACCAAGGACCCACAGCAAAACGAGAGAGTGGAAGAAAAGAGCAGGAAGAAGGCTCACCTTGAAATGCCAAGCCCAAGCCCATACTCTCCCTTGTGGCAGCGGGATTGCCATGCTGCAGTGCTGCCTCCCTCCCGTCCCCTCCCAGCGCTGCCTCCCTCCCTCCCTCCTGCACGGCCACAGGGGAGGGGCACGGGGAAGCGTCGGTGTTGACCCCTACGCCCCCCCCCTCTACCTGCAACGAACATGCACAGAGCCTGTCAGTGTGCAACCACGGAATCAAGCTGGATTGGCAACTGAGAGTTTGAAGGCAGCACAAGCGAGGGGAGGGGCCACTGGTGGAAACACGACCCAAAGCCACAGACCTTAAAGGGAACCTGAGGGGATAAACCAGCTGTAGGGTTTGTACCTGATGGGGCTGTAATGTCTAAGAAAGGCTTAACCTGAGGGGATTTACCAGGAGTAAAGGAAAGGTCTGTGGCTTGTGAACCGGGCCCCAACTAGTGGCAAGTGTTCAGGGATACAACACAGAAGCCCATGCGAAAATGACTGAGTGAGCTACATGAGAAGTGAGCAGCAAGCAAGAGTGAGTCCAGGGAGGCAAAGCACTTAACTGGCAGCTGAAGAACCGCCGAGAGCTGCTGCCTCATGTCCCCCTCACTCTCCTCCCCTCCCCTCCTGCTTCCGCGCTCCCCGCTGCTGATGCTGCCGCAACTGGTCCCGTCAGCTGTCTCTGCTGCATTGCAAGTGACCTGGAAGGGGGCAGAACGGAAGGGAAGGCCAGGAGGGGAGTGAGTGCAGGCCTTAAAACAGGCAAGGGTCAAATGAATGAGCCCGAGGGGGGAACTTAGCAGAAAACGAGTGCAGCGGGTTAGAGAGGTAAGAGGCTCACCTTGATAGGCCAAGCCCATCCCGATGCTCTCCCTCGTGTTGAAGCTGCTGCAGTGCTGCCTCCCTCCCGCCCCCACGAGTCCCTGCACGGCCACTGGGGAGGAGCGTCGGGAAGCGTCGGTGTTGACCCCACACCCCTCCCCTCCACCTGCAATGCGCACACACAGAGCTAGTGAGAGCACGGTGGTGGGAGCAAGGTGAATGGGTGTGGATGAGCACACAGCACAAGAGAAGAGGGAGGAGCCACTGGTGGAGGCACGGCCACAAGCTACAGACCCAAGGGCACCTGAAAAAGAACCTGAGGGGTGTACCTACACCTCAGAGGGATACCTGCACCTGAGGGAACTACCTGAAGCAGGGAGGTCTGTAGCATGCGAGCTGTGCCCAACCAGTGGCGTTGTTTCAAGAGGACGGTGCAGCAGCAGATGAAACAAAGGAAACGGTGTGGCAGGCAAGGGTGAGGGCATGGAGGAACGGGTACTTAGCTGATGGCGTGAGAGCAGGAGGCAGTTGAAGCAGCGTGGGCAGCAGGCATGGCATGGCGTCTCAGGCGACCAGCAGCGCTGCTCTTGAGCTCCTGCAAGGGGGTGTTGGAAGGGGGGGAATGGGAAGGGAGGGATGGGGATGGGAGGGGAGGGAGAGGCAGTGAGTGTGAGGGAGTCATGCATGCAAGCTCCGTGAATTGAAGAAGAGCGAATGGAGGGCCACTGGTGGACGCACAGTCACAAGCCACAGACTACGGTCTTTACCAAAGGGATTTACCTGGAAAAGGGCTTTATCTGGGGGAGGGCTTTACCAGTAATGGGGAGGGTCTGTGGGCTGTTTCGTGTGCTGCCACCAGTGGTTACGTTTTGAGAGAAACAGAAATGATGGAAAACGAAGCGAAAATGAATGCATGGAGGAGCGAGCACTTAGCTGGTTATGTGGTTGTGTGCAGAGGGCAGGTGGAGCACGTGCCGGCACCACCAGGCGTTGTCTGCTGCCGCCAGTGGCTTGAGGCATGAGGAGAACGCTGATGCTGCCCCACGTCCGTCCACCTGCCACTGCTGCTCGCGATGAGGCCTGGAAGCGGGGGAGGGGAAGGAAGGGGAGAGGAGGGGAGGGGAGGGGAGGGGAGGGGAGGGGAGGGGAGGGGAGGGCAGGGGAGGAAAGGTGAGGGGAGGGGAGGGGAGGGGAGGGGGGGGGGGGGGGGGAGGGGAGGGGAGGCGAGGGGTGCACAAGGAAAGGCAGTGAGTGGGATGGGATGGAGGCACAGTGCAAAAGAGAATGCATGCAAGCGTGGTGAATTCTAGAAGAGCGAAAGGAGGGCCACTGGTGGACGCACACTCTCAAGCCACAGACTAGACTACGGTCTTTACCAAAGGGCTTTACCTGGAAAAGGGCTATACCTGGGGGAGGGCTTTACCAGTAATGGGGAGGGTCTGTGGGCTGCTTCCTGTGCTGCCACCAGTGGTTCCGGTCTGAGAGAAACAGAAATGACAGGAAATCGAAAAGTGGGTGGATGCAAGGAGGAGCGAGCACTTAGCTGATTATGTGGTGGTTGCTTGCAGAGGGCAGGTGGAGCATGTGCCGGCACCACCAGGTGCTCTCTGCTGGCGCCAGGCGCTGATGCTGCCTCGCGTGGTGAGGTGACTTGCGGCCCCACGCCCGTCTGCTACTGCTCCTTGCAAGCAGCAGCCGAGTGACCTGCACAGGAATGAGGGTCGGAGCGAATGCGGTGAGAACACAGTGAGGAGGGGTGATAGCAGCAAATGCGTCGTAACTGAGGAAGGAAAGGAGAAGGGGGACGGGGGGGGTGGAATGGAGGGAGGGAGGGGGAGGCCCATGACACACATGCACGAGCGAGCGACAGCGAGGGAGACAGAGAGGAGGAGGGGACTGACGCGTGCACGCAGCGACGACTGCTAGTCTAACCTACCCCAACCCACTAGCGACTCTGCTCTATGCAAGCGGCTCAGGCAAGCGCTGTGTGACATGGGCTCCCCGGGGGGAAGGGAGGATGGGAAAGATGTATGGCATGGCGTGCAGAATTCGAAAAGCATGGTAAAACGAGAAGTGGTACAAGGGGAGCGGGATGGGCTGAGCACTTAGCTTCAGGGACGGCGTTTGACGGCGTCTTGGTTGGTGGTGCGCGTAGCACGCGAGTGGCATGCATGTTGTCACAGATGTGCACGCTGTCTGGGTCACTCAGCTGGTTGCCGCGTTGCTTCCTTCTCGCCTTGCGATCACGCCTTGCACTGAAACAACAACAAACAAGGTCCGTCAGACGCTGAAATCGAATCCGCGCAAACGAAAAGACTTTCTGCACGCACAAGGACAAGCAACGGTTTCCCACCTTAGATTGCAGCAGCAGCTCGGACCGCAGTAGCGGTCTTGAGAACATCGCGTTTCGCCTCGGTCACACGTTTGTAAATGGCGAGAGGACACCTTCGCGCCTCAGGTATATGATTTCTGCACATGACGGAAGAAATGTCAAGGATCGAAATTGTGAAGAGAGTATATGAAGCATTAGACTAAAGCTTGAAACACTGAACACGACTTTTACTACTTACAAACGCTGCTTCAGCAACTCGTATTGCGGCAAAGCCAAAGAGCACATCCCCGATCGTCAGCTTAAAAGGATGCTTCAGTTTTCTCGCCTGCAAAGGAACAATGCGCTAGTCAGAAACGAGCGAAAAGCGATGAGAAACGGGTAAAAACGTAAGCTGGAACGTAGGGAAAGATTACCTTAGTCCAAACGCGTTTCAGTGGTTCGGAGCTCCGTGAAGCGTGCAGCGAGCCTACCAGGTGAACCTCGTCGTTCTTGCGAGGCTTATCAAATAACGCGGCTGTAAATCATATGAGTAGATAGGTCGGTCGCGGTGAAAATGTGCTAGTTACGTAAACGAGAAGAGATGACTAGGAGACGAACGAGCGGAATGTTTAACAATCCTGCAAATGTCTAAACTGGCGATGTCAAAATGTCGCTCTGGAAAACCCCCAGTCGAAAAGTGGCTTCGGAAAATCGCTGGTTGGAATGTCGCTCTCTGAAAATGCCTGGTCTGGTTGGAATTCCACAGCCAACCCGGGGTGAGTGAGGTGAGGGAGACTGGGGTGTGGGAGGCTCAACTCTCGCGTTCACTGGTCGGCTACCGAAAGAAGACAAAAAAATGAGAGGTCCTCCTTGATTTAGGCCGCGCGGCTCCGAAGGGGTTCGGACAAAGGGGTTTGGTATCTGGAGGGATGGCCGTTGGCAGCACAAAACGCGACTTCTTGCAAAACGTCGTTGGCCGTGAGCTAGAATCGTCGGATCGATTTCTTGCAAAACGGATACACCTTGTTTCTCGACCCTCTCACCTTGCGCGATTCGCTGCTACAGTGCGGTCAGGTGCCATAAACCGTATGGCTGAAACCTGCGGGCAAAGCCGCACCAGCTGACGGAGTGGTACTGGGGGCAAATTTTTTCTTTATCGCTGTATACCCTTTTCAACCGCTTTGAAACGCTTGTTTAATTTTCTTTACCATGCAGCATCCTAGCTAACCGCTTTCTTGTGAATGTGCTTGTACCGTCGGTGATAAGACCATTTCAAACGTGGTGACGTTCTACAACCAGTGCATGTTCTGCAACCAGGTGCTCTGCTAGCGCGAAACAGGGTGTATACGGATTAGATTGACCCAGTGGACGTTGCGGATAGGCGGGAACAGCACACCGTCGATTCGAAACGAAACACACGGACTCGCGCGGGTTTCCGGGCAAACAGATAGCCAATGGAATGTGAGGAAGGCCAACCGTTGGGAGGAAATGGGATGGGGTTGGATGGGCTTCCCTGCTCTCTCTGCCTCTCGGGGAGAACCTAGCAGATTGGAGTCAGGTTGGGGTAAGGAAGCACTGTTGAGGAGATTGGCGAAACGGCTCAGCGAATTCAATCATGAGAGTTTCAGGTATTGGCGAACTTGGCGAAGGTGTAAAAATTGTAGCTGAGCGTGTTACCCTTCCAGGCTGGATGTGGGCCCAGACCAGGACCAATCGGAGTGATACGGAGTCTGATCGAGTGTTGCACGTTCGACCTGATGTGGTAGGCTGACCTGACAGTTTAAGTCCTCTGTGTGACTCTGTCAGGTTGGTTTGAGTTGGGTTTGGTTCGGTTAGAATGTTGGCGACACAGGTGACAAAGTGGCTGGTGTGGACCTGCACACACTGTGATCTGGTTCGACATTTCACATATCTCTAGTGAAAAGGATTTAGTTCTAGATTAACGAACTGTAGCACAAATACATAATCACTCCTACATTAAAAAAAAAAAGAGGATAGACATATGTGCAAATCTACCTGGGGATGGCGACAGTCAGCCAGCCATGTACCCCAATAGATAAAAGATAACCAAAAAAAAGGTTACAACTCCTAGCCAGGCTGAGGGTGTCTCACAACTTGAGAGTGAGATCCAAGGAAGCCTGGTTCAAAACAGGGCAGTCAGAAGCTATGGGCATGAGATCCATGGGCGCATTGCTCTCCAGCTTTCTGCTGGCGCCATTCCCTGTGGTGTCCTCAGCAGCAGTAGGCACAGCAAGGTACGCCGGCACAGGAATACAATACACGCTAGCAGCTGCACTGCTGTTCGTGAACCCCTTTTCTTGCACTTGGGATCCGGCCGCTACAGCCGCGCCTCTAGCGCCAGCCTGTCGCAGGCTCCGGAGCTCTTCATCCACCATCATCATCACACTCCTCATATCATCGCCTTTTGCAGCGCCAGCAGCACCAACAGTGCCTGCCGTAGCATGAGAGCTCACACGCCGAAGCATCTGCGGCATGGGCACAGCAACCACGGAGCTCGGCTCATCCGAAACGCTGCGCCCAACAACAGCAGCAGAAGCAGTTGCAGCAGGGAGGGAGGCGAAGGACCGGGGAGCGGGAGGAGGAGGGGCCATGTTCTTTGCAAGCAGCTCAAAAGCTGCTGCCACGACAACAGCCGGGGGGGACGAGGTCGAGTCCGCCGGCTGTCGTCGGAAAAAGGTGGTTGAGTTGGGGGAAGGGCCCTTGCTGCTCCCAGCTGCTCCTGCAGCTCCTGCTGCCGACTTTTCTGCTGCGGCTTGTCCGATGGATTGGGTGTGAGGGGACGGTGCCGTCTCGTCACCATGCTCTTCCAAATCAGCTGCCGTTTCCGGCAGCAAAAATCGCGAATCCTTTGTGTCGGACGGCCCGTTGCCGAACATCCAATCGATGGCCAGCACTCCTGCCGGCAGCGGAGTCGCGGCGGCGGCAGCAGACGCGCCGCCGACTGACTGATTCGCAGCAACGTCGGTCACTGACGAGCCGCCAGTTCCCGCAGCTCCAGTTTCCGGCGGGGAGAGCTCCTTCGCGTCGGAAGCCGAGACAAGACGCGACGCGGCTCCTACCAATGCAGACTCGTCGACGCGCGACGCGGGGAGCTTGCTGAAAAGTGCGTCCTTGGGATCGCCGCCTTCCGCGGCGAGAAGCCCGGCGGCGGCTGCGGCGAGCTTCGCTTCGCTCACTGAGACATTGTTCGGCGACAGATCGGCGAGTGCGGCGTCGACTGCGGCGGGCGCGGCCGACGGGAGCCCACCAGTGGCGCCGGCGGCGGTGAGTCGCGCCATCCACAGCTGCGCGCGCTGCTCGAGCGAAGGCCCCACGGCGGAGGACGCGGCGAACGCCTCGGCGAGCGCGGCGCGGCAGCGCGCTTGCTCAAGCGCGGCCTGAAGAGCGACGGAGAAGTCGGAGGTGGCCTGCGGGAGCAGCGCCGCCATCAGCGCCGCGGAATCAGGGACTTGCGTCAAGCCGGGGACCAGGGGGGCGCGCATGGGGACGGCGCGAGGGAGAATGCGCTGCATTTTGCGCTGAGGGGCGGAAGTGTTCGCGGAAGGCGCGGTGCCACCGAGGGAGGTCACGCGGTCGCTATCTGCTTCGGCACTTCCGAAAGCCGACTCGCGCAGAGCCGCCCTTGCGGCGGCTTTTTTCGCTTCGGCCTCCGCAGCCGCAGCTGCAGCCGCCGCAGCGCGGTCCTTGTACGAGGGCCGCCCGCGCTTCCGCGGCCGTTGCGTCTTGCCGTCGCTCGCGGACGCATCGGGTGCGGCCCGCTTGGCGCTGGGCGTAAAATGAGTGAGGAAGGAGGAGTTGGGTAGCGAGGAGTTGAGAAGCGACGAGTTGAGGAGAGTAGCATTGCCGGTCGGCGACGTCGCTGCGACCATCGACTCGAGAAGCTGCATCTGCGCCGCGGACGGCCCGAGCGGGTCAATGGTGGAGGAGAGGAAGGAGGAGTTGAGGAGGGGGTTGGACAGGCGGGATTGCCACGAGAGGGGGGACGACGCGAGCGCGGAGGAGAACGGGAAACCCGCGGAGCAGAGTGACGCGGCCATTCTCTGGCGACGGAGAAGCGACTCCTGCTGCATGGCTGACGCCGCCGCCAAAACCGCTGCGGTTGCCGAGTCTTGCATGCTGCTGTCGTCCGTAAATTGCGGGGAGGAG